AAAAAAGAGGTGCCCCTGGTTCAGGTCCAGTAGCAACATCGGAGAGGGTCCGAGTTGCCTTGGGAGCCAGAGACGGAGATGCGGGAGCAACATCCGAAGTTGTTTGCAGAGTGAGACTTCGAGGGCGAATTCTAATTCTAGTAGGGGAGAATTGTAACATCTGGATTTCCAGGTATCATAACTTAAGTATTTGTTTTGAGATGAGAATAGGGACTCGACGAGTTGACACCTAAACTCATCGAGTAGGATCGTGACTGATGACTCGGATTAATGAATGGATTTGACGAGTCGGAGAGTTGACCCGATGAGTCCGCGCTGTGGACAGAAACCTAAAATCTTTGGGTTTGTACCCTATTTAAGGGTCCTTATGGCCTTCGTTTGCGGCCACTGATATCCTTGAGAGACAACCTTCGAACCAGAGAGCATAGAGAGAGAGATAGAGAGAGAGAGAGAGTGTGTGTGTGTGTGTGTGTGTTTGTGGGGGGGGAGCTAATTTCTTCACCTTAGAGCATTCTTGCAAGGAAGAAGGAGGGGATTCAAAGCTAGGTTGTTTAAGGAGCTCATATCTGCTATCACTTCATCAAATTTTGTTGTTTGAGGTATGAATCCATGCCTATTTTCATGTATATAGTAGATCCCATGAATCTAGGGTTTTTTACCCCTTCTTTAGTTGGGATTTTGAGAGTATGGAGTCCTAATGAGGAATAGACTTTGGATCTGGACCTTGAGAGGTCCAGAGAGTCCTAACTATTTAGCTTTATGCAGTCCCATGAGATTTTTGAGTCTAGGCTACCATTTTATGAGTTATTTCATCAAATAGAGCCATATTTGTGATGCATGAACGTAAAGATGGGACCTTTGCGTGACTTTTGGGTGTTAGAAGGTCAAATCTATAAGTTAGAGAAACAGATCTTACCTCAGAAGGTCATTTGAGCATTTTCATGGAGGAAACTCGCCGAGTCCATGAGAGGACTCGACAAGTCGAATCGTGTTGCTCTGCGATTCATGATCAATGGTAACCTGTCGAGTATAAGGTTAACTCGACGAGTCGAGTGAGGCCTTAGGAGGATTAAGAGAACATGCATGGACTTGCCAAATCACTCGAGTGCACTCGACGAGTCTGGTCAAGGCGAGACCGTTGACTGGAGTTGACTTTTAGGGTTGGTCAACAATTGGACATTCGGACCATTAGAGGGGTGAAATGGTATTTCCCCCTTCTGAGAGACTATAGGAAGGGGTTAGACTAGCCTTTGAGAATCATGTTAATTAGAGATGAATTATTTTATGTGATTAGGCGGAGGCTAGATCAGTATTTTGAGTTCGAGACTTTTCGAGATTACCATAGGTGAGTCTTCTCACTATACATTACCTAGAGTGGTATCTATGTGCAGACCGGAGGGTCTTATGTGTATATGTATATTGAGATTTATGTGCATTACTTTATATATATGTTATGTGTTATATAGACCAGACCGGAAGGTCCAACGATATAGACCGGACCGGAGGGTCCAATGATACAGACCGGACCGGAGGGTCCAACCAGCTATGGAATTGGAGGGTCCCGCTGAGACATATTGACCGGAGGGTCATACCACGTTATAGGGTTGAGTGGCTTATTTGCTGTATGTGGTATTTTGGGGAACTCGCTAAGCATTTATGCTTACCGTGTTATGTGTTATGTGTTTTAGGTACTAGCGAGGATCACGGGAAGGTGTCGACATGATTTGTACACACAGGCAAAAGATTCTGTTTTTTTTTTTTAGATTCTGGGAAATGTTTAATTGTGATAACATTTGATAACATGAGATTTGAGAATATTATTTGAGTTTTATTGTGTTAAAAAATGAAAAGTTGTTTTGAAAAATTACATTGTTACAATGTGTCTCCAGCAGTTGTGTGACATGTGGCGGATAATTGGTGGAGTGTTAGTGTGCGTCGCGCACTCTGTCGTTGCGCGCCAGTGTAGAAAGGAATTTATGTTTCTTCAAAAACTCATATCTTCTTAATACGAACTCCTTTTTCAATGCGTTTTATATCCACACATAGGTATCGACAACATCTACAACTTTCATTTATACTATGTCGGCTAATTTTGACTTTATTTTTTAATTTATATTTTTAACAAGCTTAAAATGTTAAAGTCCGTTAAAAATTTATAACTCTTTCATCTGATATCCGTTCTCGACTGTCCTTATATTGACGGATAGGTGTTGACGAGATCTTCAACTCTCGTTTAGATTGATTTTTCTAACAACCGATCGATTTTGATTTCAGTTTCTGAGTCGTACACTGTTATGTTGAAGCTTCTAAAAATCACAACTTCCTCTCATGAAGTCAGATTTAGGCATTCTTTATATGTACAAAATCCTTTTCACATAAACTTTAACTTGGGTCAAGATAATTTATCCTAAATAATATTCTATCAAAAAGTCATTTTTAACGCTTATTATATCTTGATTGACTAGCCCAAATATGCAGGTGTTATAAGGCTTTCTCTCCACCCTCAACCCCCATCACCTCCAAAGAGCCCTTGATCAACCCTAACCTCCCTTTGAAGTTCTTGACTCATTTTTTTAATGATTGTGTGATCTTGGAAGGAAGAAGAAGGAGCTTTTGTGCATAGATCAAGCAAGCAATTAATTTCTACTCCTTGTGTGCATCTTCTAGATTCCTTGTAAGTCCTCAAGCTTCCATCTTTGGGGTGCCTTTTCTTGGATCTAGGTTATTTAGCATGTTTTGCCATAAGTGAGATTCGAATGGTTAGATGAGATAAAGTTTGCAGCTTTATGGCTCCCATTGGTCCCTTGGTCACTATATCTTCTGGATCTAGTAGTTGGATGAGTTTTGGAAGCCATGTATGAGTTTTGGGCCATTTTATCATCTTTTGACCTAATTGGGTGAAGGACATGCATGGACCATGCATGCCCATAAACTTTAGATTTTATGGATCATTAGGGTCCCAAGAAGCTTACTAGAAAGTATGAACAAATGGATTAATAGATTTATGACTCAACCCATTAAGTTGTCCAAGTGTAGTGACCACGACGTGGCAAAATGGTTGCCACGATGTGGTAAATGTATTCTCCATGACTGTTTTGTCTAGACTCTGCCAGGTCATGATAACGGATTTTAATCGTGACTAAGTTGGCTAGCCATGATGTGGCTATAGGTTTGTCAGGATGCGGAGACTGTTGATCGTTGACTTTTGGTCAAATTTTTAGTTTTAGAGTGTAAACTGAGGTCTGACCTTGGGTGTTTTGTTAGGTGGGCTGCGGCACTGGTTTCATGACTATATGATCTATGATATATCCGATTTCAAGAGCGAGGTTAGTTTCTGAATATACTTCGTATGTGCTAGATTGTCTTTGTGACATTTACATGCTTGTTGGATGGGGCCCATTATGTGGGTGGGGACCAGTATGAGGGTGGGGCATTCTAGTTGTGTGGGCAAGGCCCAATGCTATGTATGGTATGTGGTATTTTGGGGAACTCACTAAGCTTTGTGTTTACGGTTTTATGTTTAAATGTTTCAGGTACTTCACGTTCAAAGAAAAAGGCCCGACCTGATTGCCCTGCATCCGCTGGAGGTGATTTCCGCATTATCTATTTTGATTTACGATGATGTTGAGAACTACATTTGGTTGACTTTGTAATAAATGGTTGTAAGGTTTTTTATGGTTTAAAAATGAAAATTATTATTGGTATTTTCGGAACGTTACAAAACCCACTGATGACATCATGGTGATGTAAGCTTCATGTATGTGCTAAAACTATCCTGTCCAATTTAGTTTAACCAACACTTAACCACTTTTCTCTCAAGGTAGTTATTCATGAAAAGGGTTGATCATATATACATAGGAAATTGATCATTATCAATCTCTTTATCTTTCAAGAACAATGATATTACAATGTATTCTATGTTTAAGGTATGGATTAGGCCTCTAATCCAAATCTGATTTTTTGGATTATACAACTTCTGAATTCGTATAACCTAAGGTATAATAGACAAATTACAAATACTGAAAAACAATATAATCACGATCCAAACATTATTATTATTATGAATCCTTATTTCTAACATATAGTGGGAATTATTCGTTACCAATTTTGCGTTTTATAAAAGAAACGATCGATATTTTCCTTTTTTTAATATTGAAAGTATGATCGAACGTTAACAAGACACCACCCATTTTGGTCGACTATGTTGATTATTGACTACCCCTTTATATTATATTCTAAATTATAGATCGATTATGATGTGAGAGTTAAAGACCAAAAAAAATCATTGAAGATGCGTAAAAGATTAATGGATCATGTAAAAAGATATTCCACTCTGGCGAAGAAAAGGAGGTTTTGTTCTCTAGTTTAAAGATAAGAACCATGAAAGATAAAATCCAAAGAAAGAAAAAAAGAGACTACACAAGCTTTGTGGCTGCAAATTGCCTATTCTGACCCCATTCTGTGAAACCAATCTCCTTTCTTTCTTTTTCTAAATCAGCTTCGGGTGTTTTGTATTTCATTAAAACCTCAATTATTCGGATATCAATAGTGTTCATAAGATTCTTGAAACACCCATTGAATGGGAGCAAAGTTTCCAGCTTTTTAATGCTTTTGCCCCTAAAATGATTCTCTATCACATGAGCGACCCCTGAGTGACAAAAAAGACGCTGGAGATAAGAGTAACCAGTGAACCACCCTTTTTGTTCTCCAAAGAAATAGAACCACTTGTCCATATTAAAGCGTCATTCAAAGTCCAAAAAGAGTTCAGATTTCGATATTTAAGAGTGTAGCCGAAATTAATCGAGCTGGTATTCGGGTTTCTGGAAGCGAATTGGGATTTGGGTTTCTCGATAAAAAGTTGTTAAGTGAATTGCGATTCAGGTAGAATTCATATTCAGTCAATTGAAATGGGATTTTAGTTTCTTGAAAGAAAAAGCATGAGAACTCCATAGCCAAGCGAATTGGGTTTTAGGTTTTTGAGATAAAAGCTTCGGAATTTTATATTAGGATCTTATCTGTTGAAGCGATGACAGGTGGGTGTAGTATCGTATGGTTTAGGAGAGATCTGAGGGTAGAAGATAACCCTGCTTTAGCTGCTGGTGTAAGATCAGGTAAAGTGATACCAGTGTTCATATGGGCACCTGAAGAAGAAGGTCATTATTACCCAGGAAGGGTATCAAGATGGTGGCTTAAACAGAGTTTATCTTTGCTTGATTCATCTTTGAAGAATCTTGGAACTTCTCTTATCACAAAACGATCTTCCGATAGTGTTTCTTCTCTTCTTGATGTCATTAAATCCACTGGTGCTACACAGCTCTTTTTTAACCACTTATATGGTTAGCCTCTCTACCTTCTTTTATTCGTTCAATTTATGCACTTTTGATTCAGATCTTGGTATGAAATAAGCTTAAATTGGTGTTTTGATGTGTTGTAGATCCATTATCTCTGGTTAGGGATCATAGAGCGAAGGAGATTTTGAGTGAAAATGGGGTTTTAGTGCGTTCATTTAATGCGGATTTGTTATATGAACCATGGGAAGTTCTTGATGATGAAGGTCGACCTTTTACTACATTTGCAGCGTTTTGGGAAAGGTGTCTTAGCATGCCTTATGATCCTGAGCCTCCTCAACTTCCACCTAAAAGAATAATCTCAGGTTATTTTCTTTCATGATTTGGATTTTAGGGCATATATTTATCTAATTTTTAGATTTTAGTTTTGTTTTGTATGTTGAATATGGAGTAAATTTGGAAAGAAAACTAATCAATGGTCCTTGGTGTCTAGATGTGTGCTTAAACTTATTATTGCAACTTCAAGTGGATTATGATTATTTAGAAACAAAATAATCATATTTGCAAAAAATTGTAAATAATTGCTAACTTAGACAAAGAAAATAGATAAAATATAGACAACCATTTGTTATTTTGTCAATTTAGCCACCCAACTTAAACTTAAAACGGTTACACATTTTTGTAACTGTTTAAGAAAAAAAAAACAAAAAGAAAAAAAAAAATCAATTACCTAGTTTTGGAAAATACCAAAATATAAGAGAAATACCCTGTATGATCATCATTTTATTGATATAGCTACCGAACTTTTATTTCCATATCGATTTAGCCACTAAATATTATTATAATAACTATATATAAGATTGGTATAATTTTTTTAGCTGCTTAAGAAAAAAACAAAAAAAAAAATCAATTACCTACTTTTGGAAAATGCCAAAATATAGGACAAATACACTGTATGATAATCATTTTATTGATATAGCTACGGAACTTTTATTTCCATATTGATTTAGCCACTAAATAGTATGTATAATAACTATATATTTTTTTATTTGGGTTGGAAATATAATATGTATAAAATTTGATAAGCGGAGGATTACAGTCAAAATTTTATATTTTTAGGCTTAATATTTATAAAATTAAAGTATGTGTGCTACTTCTAACTAAAAAATCAAGGGGGCAACAAGCCCTTCTCGCCCTAATAAAGCTCCGCCCTATAAGATTTGTACAATTGTATGTATCATCTCTTTCACATAAATCGTTACATCATTTGGGTTTACAAACATTATTACACTTATGGGGTACAATATAGAAATTCCCTATAAGATTTAGTGAATAAATAGATAAAATAGTAATATATATATATATATATATATATATATATATTATATATATATATATATATATATATATATATATATAATTTTTTTTTGTTATAAGAAAATGGGCAAAGTTACAAACTGGCACTTTGACTTTTGTATTTTTGTATTTTTTTTTTCAGTTTACCCATTAAAGTATTAAATAATGATTTTTTTTAAAAAAATCAATTTTTGTGGTTATGGAAAAGGTTAGAATCCAGGAAAACAAAATTTATTTTCTTCCGTTTTTCTATTTAGTGTTTGAACTATTATTTCTTAGGATATAGTCCATGAATTATTATTATTATTATTATTATTATTATTATTATTATTATTATTATAAGGGTTAATACGTTACAAGTCATTATTTATATATCTTCGTTTCGGTTTTACCCCAACTTTATCTTTTGTTATTTATTTGTCATTATATTTTAGAAACTATTTCATTTTCAGGTCCTTGACCGGTTATCAACAAGTGATGATGACGTGTTGGTTTTGCATTTTTCTCAGTTTGCATTTAGTGTCAACATTTACATATAAATTTACATTTAGCCTCAACATTTTTTTGTTACCCATTTGCCATTGTTTTTTAGAAAAAAAAAATTTCATTTTGGCCCTTGGCCAATCACAAATATATATTTTAAAACGTAATAACTTAAAAGGAAAAAAGAAAAAAATTGAGGTAAGTATCGAAACAATGACTTATCCTTGAAGGCGAGGCATTTTACCTAGTAAGCCAATGACTTTTTTTTCTTGTATTATCAGTGTTTGTTGTATTTAATCTACACATATATTTTAAAATAAAGGAAAAATACCAAGTGTAAACCTTGAATCCGTGACATCTAATAAACTATATGATATGCTAATCTTTGAGCTAATCAAAATTGTTTATTCATTTTTAAATCATCTAAAAAACAATTGGTTGTTTATAATGATATATTTGTTGAGAAACCAAATATTTCTAAAGAATCGAAAATGTGTCTTCTCTTTAAGGGACGAAACGTGTTAGCTGGTAGGTTAACGGTTCTTTTTTTTGTATTATCAATTTTTGTTGAATTTAATGTACACATGTATTTCAACATGAAGAAAAAAGACTTAGTGTACATCTTGAGTGTGTAACATCTAATAAATAATATGACATGTTAACATTTAAGCTAACCAAAAATGTTAATTTATTCGTAATTCATCTAAAAAACACCTGATTATTTTTAATGACATATTTGTTAAGAAACCAAATATTTGTAATCACATAAAACTAAGGAAATGGAAATATTGATTGGCTCAAAGATTCGCATGACACATCGTTTATTAGATGTCTCGGACTTGAGTAATCACACTTTACTGACTATTGTTAGCTTTTATCTATTTTATGTTAGTTTTTAAATATTTGAGTAAGTTGATAAATGATTATTGTTAGTTTTTAATGACTATTGTTTTTTGTTTTTATCTGTTTTATGTTAGCTTTTAAATATTTGAGTAAGTTGATAAATGATTTCTTAAAAAGAGTAGTAATGCAAAAACAAAATTAAAGACAAACAATTTATATGGTTCGTTCGGCTACCTTCACGGCGTGTGTGTGTGTGAGAGAGATTTATTGCTTTTTGCTTAATGACTTTTTGATATATATATATATATATATATATATATATATATATATATATATATATATATATATATATATATGGTTTTTTTGATCTAAAATTGTAAATAAGACCAACCCGAAAAGTCGGACAAATCTTAACTCATGACTAAATCTGAAGATGATTCCGACATAGGAACTAGCCTATAAAAGATTTCTTTCTTGGACATTGACAAATCAAGCACATGATGAAATTCGAGAGGGTAATGAATCAATCACCACAACTTAACAATCTATCATTTGGAAGCTAATAACTAAATATGTTGCCATCCAAATTAAAACTCTGTAACATCAATCTTTCTTTAATCCACACCTTCTCTTCAAATAGCTAGAAGTCTATTTGAAGCCATACACACCTTTAAATTCGTTGTAGTCAAAACACAATTGTAAACATCTCTTTTAGATTATTCGTACCAATGATTTCTTTTATTAGATTTAGAGTCCTTATTACTTGATCTGCCTAGCGTGGCTATAAGGGGCGTGTTTGGTAAAAGTAGCTGTTAGCTGGAAACGGGTAGCGATTAGCTGGTAGCGGGTAGCTGGTAGCGGGAAGCTGTAGCTTTTATTTGTTATATGAATGTTTGGCAAAAGTAGTTGGAAGCTTTTGAAATATATAAAATTACATAAAATGACAATTTATTAAAAATAAAAAATATATATAAATATATTTTTAAGGGTAATTATGGAAATTGATTTCAAAAGCTCCGGAGCGTTTTGTTAAAAGCTACATGAAGTAGCTTTTAGAATCGGAGCTTTATGTTAAAACTAAAAGTTAAACGCTCGTACTGTCAAACTAAGCTTTTTGTTTAAACTAGAGCGTTTTGTCAAAAGCTAAAAGCTAGAAGCTCCCAAACGCTTCTAAAAGCTCCGTGCCAAACACACCCAAGATCAAATGAGAAATAAGTGTAACTTAACAACTACTCAAAACAATTAAACGGCTAAAACTATTTAAATAATAAATATATTTTGTGTTTGTCCATATTTTTTCTTATTGAGGTAAATGTAAAATTTGCAAAAGTATCCATTGCCCATTGGTACTCCAAGATGCTCAATGGTTTTGAATGTTTGTTCAGGTGACGTGTCTAAATGCCCTTCAGACACGTTAGTTTTCGAAAACGAATCAGAGAAAGGAAGCAATGCACTTCTATCTCGAGCATGGACGCCGGGATGGAGCAATGGAAACAAAGCCCTAACAGCTTTCATCAACGGGCCATTACTGCATTACTCCGTTAACCGGAGAAAAGCCGATAGCGCCACCACTTCCTTCCTTTCCCCCCACCTCCATTTCGGTGAAGTTAGCGTCAGAAAAGTTTTCCACCAAGCTCGAATTAAACAAATCCTCTGGGCAAACGAAGGTAACAAATCCGGTGAAGAAAGCGTTAATCTTTTCCTCAAATCCATCGGTCTTCGTGAATACTCAAGGTACATGAGCTTTAACCATCCCTACAGTCACGAAAGGCCGCTTTTAGGGCATTTGAAGTTTTTCCCTTGGGTGATTGATGAAGGGTATTTTAAGGTATGGAGACAAGGTAGAACAGGGTACCCTTTGGTTGATGCGGGGATGCGAGAACTTTGGGCTACTGGTTGGCTTCATGATCGAATTAGGGTTGTGGTTTCGAGTTTTTTTGTCAAGGTTTTACAGCTTCCATGGAGATGGGGGATGAAATATTTCTGGGATACTTTGTTAGATGCTGATCTTGAAAGTGATGCTCTCGGTTGGCAATACATCTCCGGTAGTCTACCTGATAGTCATGAGCTTGAACGCATCGACAATCCCCAGGTTTGACGCTACTTTAACTTGTTCAAATTGATTGAATCCAATTGTTGAAAATTTTTGTACGTTTTTCACAGATTGAGGGGTATAAATTTGACCCAAATGGTGAATACGTAAGAAGATGGCTGCCGGAGCTTTCTAGACTACCAACTGAATGGATCCACCACCCATGGAACGCACCGGAATACGTGCTTCAAGCTGCCGGAATTGAGCTCGGATCCAATTACCCTCTTCCGATTGTGAAAATCGATACAGCACAAACTCGATTACAACAAGCACTTACACAAATGTGGCAACACGAAGCCAATTCCAGAGCTGTTCTTGAAAACGGAATCGAAGAAGGACTAGGTGATTCCACCGATGATACTCCGATTGCTTTCCCACAAGACATGCAAATGGAAACGGAACATGATAACCTCGGGAACCGTGTAACAACCACAATCCGCCATTACGAAGATCAAATGGTACCTAGTTTGACTGTGACGACATCTCTGTTTAGAGGAACAGAACAAGAAGAAGAAGAAGAGGAAGAATCGTCCACAGATCATAGAATCGCCGGACACGATGATAGGAGAGCTGAAGTTCCCGATGATGATGATATGAATCTGGAATCGGGAAGAGAAGGAATTCAATCGGTGATTCCACAGTTTAATAACCAGATAGATCTGAGGAGCATTAATGGAGGTGGTGGTGGTTCACATTCACCGGCGGAATCTTCAAGTGGGACAAGTTTTAGGCGGGAAAGAGATGGAGTTATGGTGCCTGTGTGGTCGCCTGGAAATTCAGATACTTCTTCTTATTTGCAGAGGCATCCACAGTCGCATCAAGTAATCAACTGGAGACAACTTTCTCAAACCGGGTAAATTTATTTGGATCATATTTCATTCATTATTTAAATCTTAAAAAAAAAAAAAAAAAAATGAGTTAGGAATCAAATACTTAAATTCCTCTAAACCACAGGGACCATTCCTGTAATTTACTCTTAGTTTAATAATGTTGTATTGTGGTGTTTATAAACAGGTAATCTGAGAAGTTAGGAGCTGAAAGATCTGGAAAGATAGTTTTTCCATTTATGATTCATGTGCTGTTTATATATATAAAGAAAAAAAGTGTTTTAGACATAAGAATTCTGGAGTGCATTAGAAACCCAGATTTTTTTTTTAATATTATATTCATGGAATTGTTGTTGTACTATAGCGTACAATCTATCAATGCAATGTGTGGGGGTGATTGATCATATCATGATCACTATAACAAAACTTTTACTTTTACACCATGGATTGTGAATAAATATTGTTGTAAATGTTCTTGGTGCTTTCGACTTCGATGTCTTGATTTTCTTGATTTGATTGTCGTAGAAGAGCGTATAAAATGGTTGCGGTTATTGATCCTAGGATAGGGGCAATAACGTAAATCCACAGGTTTTTGTATTCGTTGGCTACGACAGCGGGCCCTACGCTTCTTGCGGGGTTCATGGAAGCTCCTGTGATTGGCCTGCAATAAAAAATGAACTTAGAAAAAGCATCTTTTAATGGAGAGATTTTATTAGATTAATCTATTAAATGGATAACGAAATATTTATTTTCCTTCTGTTTATAAAAAAATCATTGTTTAGATGGTTTGTAAACTAAAGGTTCATGCATAACTTTGAGGGTACTTCGGTGATTTGTGAAAAATGAAATTGGACATCGGTTTCTTTTCCTATTGCTTTAAGGGAAGACTTTTTTGTGTTATTGTAGTTTTACACTTCATATTCTCATTTCAATAACATTTAATCATATTTACCATTTTTTAAGATTTAAGGGAAATTTAGATGCCGGACCAAAATAGTCATGTTTTTTTACAAGTGGTTTCTTGGAAAATCTTGCCATGTGTGGATATCTCTAAAACGACATCGTTTTCAGGTTTGTAGGCGACATCTGCGAAAATCTTAGGGTGTGTTTGGTTGTGGAAAACTGTTTTCATTTTCTATGAAAATGTATTCAGAAAATAGGGTTGAGTTTTCATTTTCAATTTTCAATGAATTAGAAAACTGTAAAAGTCACTTTTCTAATTTACATAAAATTTGGAAAACTGAAATTTTTTATTTTCTGAGAAAACTTTGGAAAACTGAACGAACCAAAAGCGTTTTCAAAATTTTCGTTTTTCTTGTAAAATTTTCCTAGAAAACCGAAAAAAATTTCACAACCAAACGCACCCTTAGTTATTTGATAAAAAAATGGGTCTTAAAAGTAGATTTAAAAAAAAAAAAAAAAAATCGCAGATATCATCTGCGAAAATTCAGGTTTTATCTACAAAAGTCAAAGAACATATATGGAAAATTTTTGTATTAACAATTTTACACCGAAACAAAACTTGATATTGTAGTTTGAATTACGAAAAAAAAAAGAGATTTCTTATAGTATTTCATACGATACTAGGTGTGAGACCCATGTATTACATGAGTTTAATTAAAAAAAAAATGAAATTTTAACAATTTGAAAAGTTTGAATTTATAAGAAAAATGAAAAAAAAAATTGAATTATTAAAATTACTGAAACTTTAATGTATTGAATATATTACATATATAAATCCTTTCTAATAAATACTTTACATATATATTACATTACACATTAAATGTGGAATTTTAATTTAATAAAATGAAAAATACAATAAAATGACAAGTGGAAAATAGAAAATTTAAAATTTTTAGAAAATACCAAGTGTCAAAATGAAAAAGAAGGTGACATGTGGCAAAAAACCTTCATTTATTATTGTAGATCTCAAATGTGGATTTTGTAGATGTGAGAAATTTTTTATTTTTATTTTGTTATTTTCATAAACGAACTACAAAATTAAGCTTTCTTCGTTATTGAAATGGTTTTTAAATATTTTTATCACAAAAAACTTCAATAAGGGATGATTTAAAATAAAGTTTCGTAGATGATGATCGATTTTCACAGGTAAAACCAGAATTTTCGCAAACGACATTTGCGGGATTTTTTTTGTTTTGTTTTGTTTTTTTTTCTTTTTTTTTTTTTTTTTTTTGCAAATCTAGTTTCCGGACTCATTTTTTGATGATTGAGATTTTCGCAAATGTCATTTGTGAAAATTATCTAAACGGTGACTTTAAGAGATTTTCATAGATGTGCAAAAAATCACAATTACTTTGGTCTAGTAGCTAATTTGACAAAATTTCTTGAAATAACCAAAAGTTAGTGGGTGTTTTAAGAAATTAAGTATGAAATTTTAAGTTTTGGAAAATGATCATGGGATCCTAAGGAACGATACACAATACTGAAGAAATGACGTGACATCACTAATTGAAAAAAAAAATTATGGCTATAATGGTTCTGCAGAGGTAGCTTTGCGAATCCATTGTACACCTTTACGGATCTATAATATCTCTGAGGATTTGGTGGTTGACTAATCCGCAGAGCCGTCTCTGCGAATCTTTGGTAGACCTCTACGAATCCATTATTTCTCTATGGAAATGGTATTTGTAGTAGTGTTTAAGAATTAATTGACGATTATATATGTTTTTTTCAAGTAGCTATCAGTTTTTATGACTTTTAGCGACTAGAAACGATTTTTTTTTTCATTTTTAGGGTTTAGAATATTAGGAATGAGGTTGGTTTTGGCAAATTTAGCAATCTATATGGATCCGCTGAGCCATTTTTACGGAACCATTATAGCCACCATTTTTTTGTCATTTAGTGGTATCATGTTATTTCCTCAGTACTGTGCATCGTTCCTCAGATGATTAAAGGGCTCCGCAGAGTCCCCTCTGCGGATCCAGTGTTCATTTTCCAAAACTCAAAATTTCATGGTTAATTCCTTAAAGCACTTTCTAATTTTTGGTTATTTCATGAATTTTCTATTGGGTTAAATCTTGAAAAGTGGATAACAAAATGCCTGATTTATCTTTTTCTTAAATAAAAATGGATTTTATATATGAAAAAAAAAAGTATATTATAAAAACACTTGTCAAGATGATGAAAACGAAACCATTTTCAAATATTAAAAAACGATCATATAATATTCGTTTTTGTCTTTTTATCTTTATAACTATGTACTTGTCATCAAATATAAAATATGGTTGGGATTAAAAGATGATAAACTATGTACTTGTCATCAATATAAAATACGTTTGGATTAAAAGATGATAAACTAGAGTTGGAATTTATGAAACATTTTAAATAATGTTTAATTGATTGAAAAAAAAAAGGCTTTTGAAAAAGTGCGCGCATTGAAAATAAAAAACATAAAATTAGCTATTGCATGAAAATGGTGTCGTCTTCTTACCCTGCAATTATGACATTGAACATCAGTGTTCCTCCAATCGCAACCCCTGCAAGCTCCTTGCTCTACATAATTCATCGTCTCAAGATTAAAATCAACACATTTGAGAGTAAAGAAACTAAAATCAGATAGAAAAGATAGAACATACTGATCGATCATCAGTTGCAGCACCATTAATGGCGAACATCAACACAAAAGTGATGATGAATTCCCACAAGAAAGCTTCTAAATCTGTTGTGGGATTTGAATACCGAGTTAAAGTCGGCAGAGTGTCGTTTTGATGATTGAACAGAATTTTCAAAGTGAGACATGCAACCACAGAACCTAAAAGCTGAGACACCACATACATCGGCAACTACAACAACAGCAACAAAATCCCAGATCAAAAAAGCACATGATAATTGAAATTTGGGTGCGAAATCTAGGGTTCTTACATATACCAAAGGCAATCTTCCTGTAATCGCAAAAGCGATAGACACAGCAGGATTGAAATGAGCACCAGAAATATGCCCAAGTGTATATATCAGAGCCATTAAAGATAAACCCCACACCATAGCAATCCCCAAAATTGTTAAAGATCGATCTCTATCAACAAGAGCAGATCCACACCCTGCAAATATCAAGATATACGTCCCAAGAAGCTCTGCGATTATCTGGTTTTTGTTAAAAGGAACGATCATTTATCAGTACTCTCGAGTTCTTGACGAAAACGGGTAAAAACCCTAAAAAAATTCACTACCTTTTGACAGTAAGGTGGAAGAACAATAACATTATTGAGGGAACTTTTCTGGGTTTGTTTGATCTTTGGTTGTTCTGGAGTAACTGGTAATGTGCTCCTGAGTGGAGTGTGTTTGGGTGAAAATGTATATGCTGTTGAAATTGATTCCGCCATTGATGAGCTGAAGCTAGAAAATGCAGAGTGATATGGATTTTGTTGTAATGTGGTGTTTATATATAGTTGAATTGAGTTCGATTTCGCGCCAGATTTGGTTTCCGAAAGATTGGTAGAATAATGAAGCCGGCCATTAAAATGGAAGGTAGTAAGTGTACTTGATCGAGTGATTGAGTTTATTTGAATGGATCTGTGTACAAATCGCCGAATGAGTTCTTGTTTGTTGGTATTCAGTGAAGAGATTTGCTTGTGAAAGACAGACAAAGAGAAAAATAACTCGTCATGTTAACATCAAATCAAGGATTTTTGGTTTTTTTAATTGCCATTTTGTTTATGTACTTTCTACTTGTAATAACAACATACTTTAAATTTTTGTTTATAAGGTAATCATTTTTTATATTTCAATTATTGTATTAGGTATAACAATTTGAATGCTAAAGGGGTTGCTGAATTCGCTATCCTAGTCGAACAATCATCCGATATCATCTAGGTAAATAGATCCCCATTAGGTGAGTCATTTGTGGAATAAGAATATGATTGTAGGATCGTTATTATTTATTTTTCAAAACAAATTTCTAATTGTTTGGACCGACTAAATACATTAAAATACTATGGTTTTAAAATCTTTTTGGGTAATAACACACATTTAACAAAAACCGATCCCACAAAAATATTTACAGATATTGGATGTTACAATTAAACACCATAACAAACAAATGAGAATTGTGTCAATACAATAAATAAGGAACTTAAGAAGTTCCACTTTATTCTCTATCCCTAGACTTCTAACTTTCATATATCATCATCTCTCAGTAATTGTAACCTGAGATATATGACATTAAAAAAGATACGTAAGACAATAATGTATCGTGAGCTACGCGGGTTTGTGACCCAAAATTTACATCACATTTTCATTCAAAACGTTTCATATTTGCAAAATATATGTCAAATAGGCATTTCCACATTCCGTTTCATATGAAAAACATTTCATCTTTGTAAAACATATTTTTAAGTAGACATTTTTCCATATTCCATTTCATATCAAAACATTTTATTACTCGTAACATATTTTAAAAGTTATTACTTTTCACATTCCATTCCTTCTTTCATTAAGGGCTAATTTCGATGTAAATTGTTGCCATTTTTATACTTAGGGCCTAGCAATATCCCTAAGTCTATATCAATGTGGAAAGAACAAATCAATTTACCACGACATCATTTCCGTTAAGACATCTATCTCACGAAG